AGCTTAGAAAACTGGAATGATTACAACATATGTTAAACTGAACGTCATAGCATATCTAAAAGGAGAAGTTAATGTGAATAATTTTCAGAATGTTGGTTCAGATATTGGTCCCTGCGATAAAAAAACAAAAAAAAACAACAAATAGAGTCTAAGGGTTAGTGAAAATATGAATGTACAAAGAAAATAAATTTATTGCTCATCAACTCACAAAGCTTTTATTGCAACAACAATGCATCAAGACCTTTCAGCACACTAAAGCAAAAAAAATCCTTGGTCAAAAATTAAAAGTTATTGCATTTACATTTAGTTTTCATTCTCAGTTAAGAAAATCCTCTTGAACGAACTTGGAGATTGGTTTTCAATTGGGTGTGAATGCAATAAAACAAATATTGGAAAACAAATCATAATAAAATAAGTGGATAGAAAGACATTTATTGTTAATGGGCTACTCAGTACTCATATAGGGTTACATAGAGAGTGTCTAGCGCGGTGCGTCGCCAGTGTCCCCAGGGGCGAGACGTGCCATCGGCGCGCTTCGCCCGCTACTGACGGGGCTGCTAGCTCTCTCTCTCTCTCTCTCTCTCTCTCTCTCTCTCGCTCTCTCTCTCTCTCGCTCTCTCTCTCTCTCGCTCTCTCTCTCTCTCGCTCGCTCTCTCTCTCGCTCGCTCTCTCTCTCGCTCGCTCTCTCTCTCGCTCGCTCTCTCTCTGTCGCTCTCTCTCTCTCTATCTCTATCTCTCTCTCGCTCTCTATCTCTATCTCTATCTCTCTCGCTCTCGCTCTCTCGCTCGCTCTCTCTCTCGCGCTCTCGCTCTCTCTATCTCTCTCTCTCTCGCTCGCTCTCTCTCTCGCGCTCTCGCTCTCTCGCGCCCTCGCGCTCTCGCTCTCTCTCGCTCTCGCTCCATATATATATATATATATATATATATATATATATATATATATATATATAATATATATATATATATATATATTGAAACGAAAGAGCGTTTCCGCATGATAACAGCAAAATTGATTATTATATTCTAAGTAAAGAGAAAGCACTAAATCGATCAAGCGTAGTAACGCCGCCGCGCCGCGCTGCCACCAACGTCAAACCGGGGGGCAGAACGGGCGAGGCGATGGACGTTGTTGAGCCAGTAACGGGCAGGGAGGCCGCGAGCGCCGGGTGGAGAGTATCGGGGAGAAGCCGCGAGCAAACACGGACGGGTGTGCTTGCCCAAGCAAGTTTGTAGTGAATTACCAATAGTGTGGATTGATTGTAGCCATTAAGTGGGAGATTAAGGTGCTAAAATAGATTATCAGATGATTAGGAGAAAACGGAGGTGCGCACACAGGACGGGATCAGTGAAACATTATTATTGGAGTTTGAGTAACCGACAGACACGTGTCGCATGTCCGCCGGGTGTGATGCAGCAGCGGGCCGCACCTGCGAACAGTCGAGTGAATTGAGAAGAACGGTTTGTGATCGGAGCTGCGACGGGACGCCATTGCGCGTTGTGCAAGTTAGTATATTGTGACATTGCTTGCATTGGCTGGGGTGGTGGATCCTGCGAGTTCGTTGGCCATCGAATTGGGAGGTCTGCTGGAGTCGGCCGCCGAGGGAGATCGGTTTCCCGACAAACTTTCGGGCGACGAAGTTTGCCGAACACTGCGCCGCCCGTTGCACGCGGCCCTACGCTCGCCTCCAGCCAGCCGGTGGACATCGAAAGCTTCAAGGTACGTTACTCGTGCACGAATTATTAAAAAAGGCCTTGCGCACTGCTTTGTAAACGAATTTTATGTATATAGTGTGTCCAATCATTAAACTTTCAATTGCACAAAAGAGTTTCCGTCGATCATCTCTCTAATGCAGCGTCAATTCCCCTGGAAGCCCATTCACGAGAATGTACCGTTCCTTTATTATTGATTTATTTGTCGTGAGAGTACGTTTTCCAGGTACGTCACTATATATATTATATAGTATAGATAATAATAAAAGAAAGTCGTGTTATTACTCCACTTATAACTAAAACGGCTGAACCGATTTAGCTGGAAAATTGGCAGGGGAGGTAGTTTAGAGCCAGGAGAAGGACATAGGATACTTTTTATCGCACGTTCGACAGCATCAGTGTGACTTGACATGGAACACAGTCATCACTATAAAACGTGGTATATACAAACAGAATCAGACTGTGAAATATAACAAAAGCAAAATGGACAGCTATGTAATTGACGTATAATGGACAGATATGTATGACGTTGGATGAGATTTGATATTTGTAAGAAAATATTAAAATAAATAAATAATATGCATAAACGTGCATTAGAAGCACTTAACCGACATTAAAAGATTTACGCAATGACTCGAGATGTTTTGGAGGAGCATGATTTTACTGTCTGGCGATTTTTCCGCCAATACTGCCAGTTAATTCCTAGATTACGGCTGCCGACGAAATTAAACGCTTGCCTCAAATCGTCAAATCTATGGCGCTATGTGAAGAAACAGGAACTGACAACAAACATAGAGTTACATTGCTTAATGACATATCTGCTGAAGATTTCTCGGAGCAATTGGCTGACTAATCGGTAATGGTCAACGTACCTGTCGATGAATCGAGCGGATAATATCACTTTCCAAATAATTTCTGTAATTTTGTCTCATCAAAAGACGAACTTACAACAAATGTATTTCCAGAATATATTTTCTATCTACAAAAATAATGAATGTGAGTGAGCGAGCAATTTTAGCGCGTAAGAATAAAAGATGCAGAATGACCTTAACTACATAATTCAAAATAACATCATTGGAAAATTGCATTCATTCAAATCTATTGACTGCGTCACAAATGAAGATGAAGCCATCAAACTATCCAATTGAATTTTTAAACTCCTTTGGACGTGTGCTGGCTTACCACCGCACAATTTACGCCTAAAGGTTGGCTCCGTAGTAAATCCATGCTTCGAAACATAACCAACCAAAACTGTGCAACGGTAACGCGTTTGGTGTTTGAAAATTGATGAACAATTGTAATTTAACGCTACGATAATGATAGGAAAATTCAAAGGTGAGGAGAAGTTCTCATTCCGAGGATTACCGATGATCCCAAAATATGTCGTTTGAATTTTAAAAACGACTTCAATTTCCATTTGCATGACATCAACAATCACAAGACAATCCTTAAAAGTTTGTGTTATAAATCTAGAACATTCAATGTTTTTCCCATGTTCAGTTACACTGGCATGTTCACGGGTCGGAAGACCATTTGCGTTGTTTGTTTTGCGCCTGATAAATAAAAACAAAAATGTCGTGTATCACAACGTACTTAAAGAAAGCAACTATGTACTAAAATACAGAAATAATTATGAATGATTAATGTAGGTATTTATTTTTTTGTATTTTTTCCAATTAAAAAACTGCTTATTTATTGCCCATTAAGGCGGAACAAAGTTCGCCGGGTCAACCTAGTATATATATATAATATATATATATATATATATATATATATATATATATATATATATATATATATATAGTATATTATATAGAATGGTGGGAGAGCCTGATGTGTGAAAAAATGTCATCTAGTTCGACTCAAATGATAAAACCGGAAGATGTTTTTAAAAAGCTTGTGAACAAAGGAAATCTATTCACTTGTGAAAACTGTTGAGGATTAGAGAAAGTGCCTCTATGTCCTGGACCATGATTGATGCTCGTGTAGACCTCCAGTGTTCTTAATTCCAATAGATGGCATTCTACACAGGGGCGGATCCAGTCGATCATTTTGGAAGGGGCCATTATTATTATATTTTTGTTAAGTAATAAATATTTGCTATTACGTTGAATTTTGGCGGCTTGGATGCAGCAAGATGGCAGCCCCATTACCGCGCTTACCCTGCGCAGCGCTCGTGACGCGGCCTGGGGACACACGACTACTGACAACCCTCGAATATACTGATGGACCTCATCTAATACGACGACAAATGCTGAGAATAAGGCTAAACGGATTAAGGACTCGGAATCATGAAATATATCAATTTGGAATGTTCGAGGATTAGCGCACAAAGAAGCGGAACTCGTTAGTGAACTTCAAATATTAGCCGTACACATGGCAGCTATTACAGAAACAAAGAAAAAGTTAAAGGGAAGTATGGACCTACAAACTTACCTATTATATTACTCAGGTGTCCCGAACAAACAAAGAGCATCTGCAGAAGTGGCAATTCTGATCAAGAAAACTTTTAAAAGAAAAATACATAGTTATAATTTCGTGAATGTAATAATTATGTACATCCGACTTCAAATAACACGAGGATACCTTATAGTTATTCATCATTTACGCCCCAGAAGAAGGAAGGAAAGAATTATGTTAAGAATTCCATGAAACTATAAAAAAACTGAATAAGATAAACTGAAAATGATTATGTAGTGATATGTGGTGATTTTAATGCTAGAGTAGGGAACCAGCCAATGGGAGATCTATTGAAACCCATGGAGAAACAATACCGAATGAGATTGGGAAAACATTAAGGAAATTTGCAGCTTTCAATCAACTAAAAATAACAAATACGCATAGGAACATTTTTCAAATTTTCAAAAACATGGCTTCGTTAATAACCCTGATTTGGGGAAAATTGCTAAATTCCAAACTTTTCGGAGTCTTTCTACAACTAAAATATTAAAAATAGGTTTTCTTCCTCTTAATGGAATCTGCTCCTTAAAGATAGATTTTCAAATAAGATCATGTACAATATTTCGAAAATATGAGTACTTTTCGTGTAATTGTGCGTGAAAATACGTGCGAGAAAGTACGTAGTTTTAGCACCACTAGTTACTTGAAACTTTCGATATCGCATTTTATGTAGACTGTAAAAAGAGAAAAAAAAGTTTAATAGAATACGCCGGCATGTGATGAAAGAAAACAAATAATCATACACGAATACACAATTGGGTGAAATCCACCCTATTATTAATATTCTTTCATTGTTGAGTTTCATAATATTCTTGCATTTGAGTTCCATACACTGGAGATTTGTGGTAAAACATTGGAAGATATTATTATTTTATTATTTTTATTATTTTACGTGTAATTCCATCATCTGGCAACACTGTGCATTCAATGCGTATTCTCTGGTTCGATGCTTGTGTTACAAAATGGTAGTGTTCAGGTGTAGTGGGGGAGTTACGGGCCGACAGAGAAGCCAAAGCCAACTGTGCGTACTGCGCATGACTATTAGGCGGGGGAGGCAGGGGGAGGGCTGAACTTGTTGGTTCGTGTAGAATTTGGTTGGATTGGAATTTTCGAAGTGAATGTGTGATTTGTGTGAAAGTAATTGTTATACGGGAGGTTTATAATTATTTGAAACTGAACATTATTTTTACAGTGAAAGGGCGTAATTTCATCGCGGAACTTTTTTAAGTGATACAATATATTGATTTACTTAGGAAATGAACATTTGTTATTGAGATAATCGGTAGCAAGGTAAGTAACAGAAAATTAGTTTTCTCAGATTTTGTTATGTGCCAGTGGGAGAGCATAACTATTTTTGTTATAGAAAACGTGAAACGATACCTGATAATTGCCCAGAGTATTTTTTTTCAGCTGCGTTGACTTATTAAAATTATTAATAACCTTACATTGTATTTGCTGTGACGTTGAAATCGGGTAGGATTTTGATATGAAAGTGATTAAAATGTACAAAAATGTAAAATGTTTATCCAATATTTTGTTGTTCTTAGTAGTATAGCTTGTTTGTACAGATTTGATTTTATGCCTACACCATCAGGATTGTTCAGTTAAGAAGTCTGTTTCCATTCTCTTCATTATGAAACCTACATTGAAACACATAAATTGGGCTCTGTATTTGGAAGATCTGCATCAGTATTTCTCTTCACACCATCTTAGTGTACTTCTGTTTATTCTCTTTTGTTGCTACATTGAATGTGAAGAATTCTTATATTTACATAATTTCATTAACGTTTGATTGTCGTAACTGCACAATGCAGTAATTATTATTGACACATCTGCTAGTTAAATAGTTTATTTAATACATAGTTGTGAGGTTGTAGCAATCACTTATAGTATTTTACCTTATCTTCATTACATACTGTTTCCTTTTACACGAGTAAAGAAATACCTTCAGGTGGGGTGAAAATGGGACTATGTAATATTGTGTATATTTCATTATATCTATTGGCCCAACAATACATTGGGAACAATACCAACTTGGAACATCCATTTACTAAAGACCCGTAATTAGATTAATATCATTTTGTACTCTAGCTTTTACAAGTCTGCAATCAGTTCTATTGACTTTTATTGAGTGTGAATTCTGACATTTTTCGCGGTAATTGCCAAAAAGTGTTTCATTGCAATTAGTCTTTGAGGTTTTAGAGACAGCACAGAATTCTACATCAATTCTGTGTTATATGGATTGTGTGGTTATGTTATTTATTATTTTGTGTAATGACATAAATTGTTAATAAGAGAAGTTCATGGGGGGAAAATGGGACACTGACTTTTTTGTTGTTTTTTCTCTTGAAAATAGATATGCTTTAGTGTTGTGTAAAAAAAAAAAAAAAGTGATATCATGACAGGACATACAGAAATTAGACCAGTTATTAAAATGCTACTTGAGATGAAAACACTGTCATGATGTTCCGCCGCTGAGAAGTAATTTTATTTAACGTCACCAGTTTTCATTAAACAAATTATTCAATAGATATTTGTTTGTGACTAGTTAAAGTAATGGAGAAATGTATGGAAAATATTGCAATTGGCCTTAGAGAAAAGATTCACAATGGTATAAAGTAAAAGATTTAGAGGAGACTGCCTATTATTACGCAAGTGGTAAAAAATAAATGTTCAGGGTTGCCATATAGTTGTAAAGTGATATAATGTGATATAGTTGTATAAAGTGATATAGTTGTAAAGTGATATTTCTTTGTTATTTTATTTATAGTCACTTACTAAGAAGATTGGTACATTTTTACTGCCTTTATTTTTTTCTTTTGCTATAAATTGGCATTTTTGTTCAAAACCATTCACAATTAATGTAGAAGGAGACTGTATTTTCTTTTATAACGTACCGAAACTCACATTTTATCAAAATATCCTAGAAGTGGATATATTGCATTTCTATAATTATTCTGTTGAGGATGAGAATGATTCGAATTTATATTTTTGCATATTATTAGTTGAAATGTATTCATGAACTCCTTTTTTACCCAGTAGAGTGGGGTGAAAATTTGTCACAAAGGAACCTATTGCATTATCAACAGAATCAAAATTATTTTCTTTCTGATACTGAGAATGCAATAAAAAGATAAATATGGCCATTTGGGGAGAGTTTGTGTAAATCATTGAAGTTTTGTCCCATTTTCACCTTGTTTGACAATATTGTTTTTAATATTTACTTTTGCATATGTATTCTTTTTATTTATTAATATTTATTTGATTTAATACTTAAGGACTTTAAATAAGCGAATTCAAGTAATTATTCCATAGAATGGGTACACTTATTTCCATTTGACTTTACTGCTTTGTGGTGAATTTTGTGAAAATAAAGACTAAAAACAGAATTTATCTTCGAATAATATCAAAGAACACTGTGGTCATGAGCAGATGTTGATAGACAGATACTAAGTGTGGAATTTTGAAACAAGTATTTAATCTTTTTACATATTTCATCATCATTTTCTGTAATTTATATAGTTATTTAAAGTAGGTTTGATATCCTGTTTAGATGCAGTTTATGCTGTTGTTTAGTCGCCAAGGGAAACTCCGTTTGCAGAAATGGTATGTGGCACATCCAGACAAATTGAAGAAGAAGATAACAAGAGAATTAATAACTACAATTTTAGCCAGGAAGCCTAAAATGAGTAGTTTTCTGGAGTGGAAAGATGTGAAAGTTGTATATAAAAGGTATAGTTAAGTTAATGTAATTGTGGATAGTTGGAGAAACTAAGTGTTGTTATCTCTATAATTTGCATCTTGATTCTCTCCAAATTTAAAAATATACCAATGTTTGTTTCTGTTTCTAAGGGTCTCGGTTACCCAATCCATTTCATTGCAATTATAAATTAAAAATAACATTTTATGTTGGTGGTGGAGCTTATATGCTTTTGCATTAGCAGTGGAAAATTACAAGCGCAAGTGCTGTGCAATATACTAAAGTAATTTTGCTAATGTGGAGGTAGTCATTTGATTTTTACTTGATTTTGGTGACTCATTTCGGAAGAGCAATGAACTTAATTGCACTTGTTTATTTTATTAATCAATCTCATCAAATTAATGTATCTGCATTGTTTTGCCAATTTTGCAGATATGCTAGTTTATATTTTTGTTGTGCCATTGAACAGAAGGATAATGAGCTGTTGACATTGGAAATAATTCATCGTTATGTTGAGTTGCTTGATAAGTATTTTGGAAGTGTAAGTTCCTTCAATATTATTAATTTTTGATATTGTGTTTGCCACTTTTTTGTGTTTAATTTTGAATCTGTTATTTATTTAGGTATGTGAACTTGATATCATTTTCAATTTTGAAAAAGCATACTTCATATTGGATGAGCTTTTGTTAGGAGGTGAAATTCAGGAAACAAGTAAAAAAAATGTTTTGAAAGCCATTGCAGCCCAGGACTTGCTCCAAGAGGTTAGTTATGATAATTCCAGCTTTGACCTCTAAAGAAATTTGACCTATCTGTGATTGTTGTTAGACTTTCTCTGTCAACTTAACTATTAAGTTAAGAATAAGGCAGTTGATGTCTTTCATCATGCTGTATGACTCTTGAAACAAATGTGCATTTTTGGGGTGGGTGGAATTTTGTTGTTGTTTTTGTTGATTTTAATTTATTCAGAGAAAATTGTTATATTTTCATGTGTATATTTGATCATTTTGTTGCCAACTGTTTAAATGCTTTATTTTTACATAGATATTTGCATGATTATTTTTCAGTTTCAAATATCTTTTGTATATATTTGCTATTATGCTAGCTTAGCTATCAGTTTTCTCAGGTGCATTTTAGAGTTCCTTTGTGCAAAGACACATTCGTGTATGATCTGTAATATATTTGTCCATTAAATGAAATTTTAAAATTTTATTTGTGGAATGAGACTGGTTCTGTTCATGAGCAGTAATGAGATATGTAAATTGAAACATTTTGCTTTATAATGTAGTACTATTAATAGTTAGGAAAATGTTAATGAATGGTCATGTTTCTGGTGCTGAAAATTATCCTTATAAGTAGTATTTCAATTTTGTGACCTGATAAATTATATTGGCCTGTACAAGAAGGTATGTAGAATCACAGTACTGTAGTTATGTTCTTAAATTACTGAATATTGGGGTAAAGGTGTAGATGTATGAAAGAAAAATTAACAATGAAAATACCTTTCTAGATTGAGTTAGTTACATCTTACCTTGTAGTTACAGGCATAAGCATTTGGTGCTACTATATCTTGCATTTTTGAAACTTGCATGGATGGTATATTGCCTTGAATGTGAAAATGAATTAAGATTTGGATATTATCTGCTAGAGTAACATGTCTTGATTTTTTATGTATGTTGTTTTCTTATTCTGATTGTGTAAGCATTGTTGTGAGCCTCTCATGATGCAAAGAGTGTAGGAATTAAATTGTTATTGAATTTTACTGAGTACTTTCAGATTGTGCAGGGTCATTGTGAAAGAAAGAGGAAATGTGGTATGATTTGTTAAAAATTCAAGTAACACTTGATTTTATCGATACAACTATTTTTATGTGGATATAAGATGGTATTAACAATTAAGTATTTTTATGAAATGTTTTTCAAACATTTCTGAATATGACCTTGGAATTTTAATTCTTAATTAACATTAACTCCATGTTTTTAACTTTGTTCTTTTGCCTTTTTTGTCCCCTTTTCTCTCTCTCTCTCTCTTTTTTTACCCATGTTCAAGAATTAACTTAATGAAAATGACAGTTTCCTTCAGTTCTTCTGTAATGACCCTGCCTCCGCAGAAGTTCCCCTAGAAGATTATATGTTAATTGTTTTAAAACATACTCTCGTAATCATACCCTTCTTTTGCCATTAATTAAATTTTCTAGCACTTCCTTGTTATAGGGGAGACTACTGTTCATTTTATATGAGAATTTGAAATTCCAAAATTGAAGCACAATTTTTGTCTCTGAAAATGAAAATATTTGAAAGATTCTTTCTATGTACTTGCTGGTGTAATTTGAATAAACTATATATACAAGTAATCTAACAACATGAATTGTTAAAGATTTGCGCAGATAAGAAAATACAATTTATGGAATTAATTATGTGAAATTTAAGTGATTATTGAATACCTCTTTTTAACTTAAATTCAGGCTTGCAATTTTAAGTTCTTGATATTTTTAATTTAATAAGCAGATTCAAGGGCGCATCTAGAGGGAAGCCATGGCCCAATTTTTTAGCAGGTTTTAAATGGCAATTCTTTTGGAATTGTTCAATTCAGTAACGGTGTAAATCTTTATTTTATTTTATTTTATTATTATTTTTTTAACTATAAATTTCAGATTAAAGTTCTTTTTTATAGGAATAAAGTACTTTTAAAAGAAAGTTGAAATTTGATTAAAGTTTTGCTTATTCATTCAGATCTTATGTAATATGTTGAATGATCCAAAAACCCAATTTCATCAATGCTGTTTAAAAATCTTTTATCTACAACGGTGTGCTAACTGCTCTCATTGGTGTTATTATGAACTTCATAATGATAAGAGGTTCTTATGAATTTATAATTACTCTTTTTAGTCTGGAATATAAGAAAAAATTTATAGAATTATTAAATATTTTATGATTAATATATCGTTTTTTTAATGTTTAGTGCTAAAAAACAAACAAAAAAAACTGAAACAGATTATAAGCATTAATTGTAACATTTATGCAATGCTTCTCACTAACACCCAATTAATAAAACAATTTCAAAAATCAAAACAAACCCGTTCACTGTCTAGCTGTTGATGAATATTTTATAAAATGAAGTATAAAATGACTGAGGCTGTCATAGATAAAATATTATATGATACCTGGTGTTTGATATAACATCATAATGAAACTCGTATTGCTTTTGCGTCACTTTGACACATTGTGTTATTTCATTACAATGTCCTTATCATACTTGTTTCATTAAAGACTATTTTGAGATTACTTGTTCAAGTGTGTCCCTGAATATGTAAATCTATTTAAATGGTGTAAATTAACTATTGTATAAATTATGGTGTAAAATACAAACAAACTTAAGAAATCTGTCATTTAAATTTTTTTGTAATTGTATTATTTGTATTTTGTTCCAATTTGTCATGGCTTTATAAAATTTGAGATTTTGCCTTGGTAGTTTTCTGGATCCGCCCTTGAATTGTTACATGACCGTTGTATAGACACCTTATTGAATTTGAGAATGCAGAAAGCTCTTGCCAACATGTAATTTCCAAAGAATATCAGAAAATTGCTTGCTAAGTGAATGTGAAAATAACTTATGCATGTATTTTGCACCTATTATCAAAATATTATGCTTGGTGTATTTGTGTGTGCATTTGTAATGTTGTGCATTTTGCATTAAATTAAGTGCATTTTACATTTGATCTTGGTTAATTATAGTAGTCAAGGTTTTTTGTTAATAAATAGTTATTTCTTCAATGTTTTTGCATTAAAGATTATTTGCATTCAAGAGTTGTGGATTACTCATGTAACAGTTGGAATTTCTTGTGAATTATCACTTTATTTTTTAAAATAAGTATTAATGTGATGAAGATTTAAAATATCTTTGTAGTTTTTCTATTGAGAGATTCCCCTTTTATATTTAGGCTTGTGCAACAACATAATTTTTACCAAGCATGAGGATTGCTTTAGCTGTTTGCATGAAAGCAGAATTTTTTGGTGTTCAAATTCTAGGAAACACATTTTGCCATTTTGCACCTCTGTTTTTTATAATTATGCAATTTACTCAAGAGTGTAGGGTAAGATCATTGCTCAGACAGTATTGTTTCAATAATATAAACAAATGGGTATATGAAAGGAATGGTAGGTTAATTGTTTTTACTTTGGCAGTTGCTGTGCTATTTTTGGAAATGACAAACCAAATGGTACAGAGTAGTAAACCACACATACTTAATGCTGAATGTCCTTGACATCCTATCCTCCACAGCAAAGCCATTGCATGTAGTTTGTTGTTATTGCCAAACAAAAACATTTGAATATTGTAGCTCTCTCGAAAAAGTCTATGGAAAGAAACTTCATGTAAATTAAATAGTTTTAGGAATTTAATTGTAGACTATGGAGGAAAATTACTATTTAAGAAAGTGTTTATTCTGGAAACTTCTAAGGATTAGAGAATTCAATTAATCATTCAAATGAATATATTTAAACTCTCCCTAAGTATTATAGGAACCTTAAATTTCATTTTCTGCTTAAAACACTTTTCTTGTTATCACTCAATTATGATAACTTTAAAGGCGAGACATGAAGTTCTAGATTTCTGTTTTCCATGCCTAAGTAGTAGAAATTTGGAAGTAAAATTAGATATCTGACCTTTTCATAATTTAATTACATAAGAATTTGCAGTTTTCAGATAGTGTTGTTCACATGTAAGTAAATGTAAACCATGGAAGAATTTTGAAGTTTTGAGAATTGTTTTATTTGGTGAAAGTTTTCGATGGGTCATATTAATATTTGCATTGAAGATAAAATAGATAATTTCACACACTTCAAAACATGTTTGTGGAAAGCAGTTTTGTAGTTGTTGGATATTAATATAATTTATTTGAAATCAAATTATAATTTCAATTTGATATTGAATATTAAATTCATTGAATTTTCTATACATAAGTACCTGAAAAATGTGAATAATTTCTTTTTTCCTTCCCTTTTCTTCTTCCCCAATATTGTGTAATATAAAGTGTTTTTTAATTAAAACTTCTGCTTGTGAAATTGAATATGAAGGCAACTTATTACAGATTGTTTAATGTATTGTTCATGTCAATTGGTAATAAAAAATTATGTTGCGGCTTTTGCATGAACAAATTTTGTAACAACCTATAGCTTACTGCATTAAGTTAATTTTACCGAGGTTAGTTAATGAAAAGTAGTGGTAGAGGTATAAGATGGTGTGTTGGGTGTAGGAAATTGCATGTTTGCTGTGTTCGTCCCTTTTCGTAATTTGTCTCTACAATACTCATTCCGGATTGATGTTTTAATTTACAGTATTGTAGCATTAAAAAAACCAACACATTCTGTCATGCTCACTTAAAGATTTAGAAGTAATTAATTACAATACTAACATTTGAAAATTATTAGAAGAAAAGTTTTTAAAATTTCTTTTTTGTCTTTGAAAATGCTCAGTAAATGCTGATTTCCTTTCAATTTTTAATTAAAATGTTGAAAAGAAAATGTTTTATTTTAAGTGTTATATCATATTAAAATAAGATCCTAATTTTATTTATTTGAGAATTTATTTACCTTCGAGCATATAACAAGATAGTGCTTGTCAGAATATTACATTGGCATGTCTCTCTTACAGACTAATCCCACAAACACAAATATGTTTAATTTTTATGTTTGCATGTAATTTTCTCGTGTAGTGATTATTGCATATTATAATAATTTTAAGTTTAAATTGAAGGAATGAATATAAAATAAAATGGATATTGTAAATAGATTCGAAACAAGGAAATTGTGAAAACACACAATAAAAAACAACATCCCTCTTTTTTCAGTATCATTGAGGAAACTTAAATTGTTAATTAATTCTTCGCAAGGCAATTAATATGTAAAGAAAATTTAAACTTAAAAATTTTATTTCTTGAAGCATTTGTTCTGAACTTCATAAAATTAGGAGCCCTGATAAGGCATTGTTGCCGTGTTTCAAATAAGTTGTGTTTGCTGTTCGATAAGTTTGATAGTTCAATAAGTTCCAAATTTCTCTGCTTATGCAAAATACTATAGCTAACATTAAATCTTGAATGAAACAATTAATTTAATTGAATTTGATTATTTTTATTGTGATTTACACATTTTCTGTTAATAAAGTTGTAAATTGAGTCAAGATATTACAACTTATGCTTCTCAAAAGTGAATTAAATCTTTGCATGTAGAGTAGTAGATAGAATGGGTGATGTATACACCTTTTTTTTTTTTCTTTTTCTTTTCAATGCTCATGAATTTGTTCCTTCTCTGTACATTTCAAAGTGTCTAGATGCGATTTTCCTGCTTGCCAATCACAAGTCTTATTTTGTGATTCATTCATCAGTTCAGGTAAGGGTGAAGGATTCTAAATCAAAATTTAGTTCCAAGTAATGGATTTAGTTATTTTTTGTTGCATGTCATCTACTTTCTCACATATCTAATCTCTGGAAAATTTACCACTGAAGAGTGTTACAAAAAGAGTGTAATCCTCAAAGTGAATCCATATAATCCATTGCTTTCTTAGAAATCTTGCAATTAATGCTCCTTATGCTTCTGTACTGCTTGGTAAGCAGACTTTGTAGTTGGTTTGTGCTACTTCATGTTTAATGCAGTCTTGCAATGGTTGGTTTTTCTCTCCCTTCTTAAGGACGAAGCAGTGGAAGGGGCTCTGAGGGAGATAGGGCTTCTGTAGTGCTGGTCCTCAGACTTCAAGCAACTGGCCAGGGAAGATCAAATAGCAGGATACATCTTCAATAAGCATGACTTGCTTTACTTTGAGCAATGTTGCTCTTATTGTATGTTTTAAAATTGTCATTTTCTCTTCTCTGTTATCCAAATTTAGGAATCATGGAATATGAGAATATTTCAAATTTTATTTTCAGTAAAAAATTGAGGGTATTAGAGTATGTATGATAAGAGTAAAGGCCTGTGTTATATTAATAATAATAATTATTATTATTATTATAATCAAAGCTAATTTTCTACAGTAGAATTTAATAAATATGTGTGTGTGTGTGTTTGTGGTCATGCATGTTAACCCTTCACTGGAGGTGTGTTGGAGAACTTCCACTGCTGGTCACACTTTGATATGACAAGAGCTTGTGGCTATTGTGCATTTCCATACTTGCCTTTAGTTACACACCACAAAAGATATGAAATAAAAGCAGGATGATTATTATATGTGAGCCTGGTTTTCTAACTTAAATTACGTGTAATAATCGAAATATTAGAACCTTTTGAAGAAAAAAAAAAGTTTTTCTGTTTCTTCTTGCTTAAGGTGAATTGATGAAACCAATGAAGTTAATATGTATGCATTTTTTAAATTCTCTGGAAGAAGTTTCCAACATTGCTGACATTTTTGTTCTAATGGCTGAATGGCGAATTCAGTAGATCTGAATCTTGGAAAACCAGGTGTGCCTAGTTTTGGTACAAATATCAATAATCATGATGATCAATTGCTATGATGATTCAACATAAGGTGTATTCTTTGCTGATTAAAATATTTTTGGAAGAAAAAAAAAGAATTAAAATTTGTGTGAAGGATGGGTCCATGTAAATTCTTCAATTTAGCAATAATACTTGAGTAAGTTTTAAAAATGTTGGCAAAGAAACACTTCATTGAGAGAAATAGTGTAATTTAAAAAAAATGTGTAGAGTAGCTTTTTATATTATTCAAAATATTTAATATCAGCTTAAATGAATTTGTCTTTTTATGGTAGAATTCTTGAGCTAATTTTTCATATTTGCATCTTATTAGTTGCTCTTTCCACTTGTATTTTCCTTTTTAGAACTATGGTGAATCATTTTATGAATTTCATAACAATAGTAATATTAAATACGTTTAATAAAATATGACTCGCTTTTAAAATTAGTAGATTCCATCTAGTCAAAGTAAGTTGTGTATTAGTGATGCAATAGCCTGCATAGTCAGATTTCAAATGTACTTTTTATGTTGCTTACAAAAAGCTTACTTCATTCTTTCTATAGAACTTTTTTGAAATTAAAAAGGTTTGTGTTAAATTAAAGTAACTGTAGTCTGAAAAATGTGAATTCTGAAGCACACGGCACTTACAGTTGACATTTGTTGTGGAACTTTTCTTTTTATGGTGCATTTTAAAGCAAAATCTTAAAGAAGTTGCAAAAATATTTTAACTTAATGCCAAAGTTAGGAATTCCACAAAGTTTTTACATTCACATTTTCTAGAGCATGTAGTGTTTTCATTTTATCCACTTCACAATGTCTGAGTTTTGTCAGTCTGCGATTGTCAAGTGAGTGTGTGTCTGTGTGCACCTGCTCTCACAGGAATTCTGTATACATTGTTGCTTATTGGCCTTTATTTTGCTTGAAAACATTAATTTCAAACGCAGCACTTATTACCGAAGAAAGATAATGCTATCTGATAGCACATGGAAACCTTTTTTTAATTTATGATTTTGTTCTAAAAGATTTATACTGTATGTTTTTAAATAAAATTGTTGAAATAATTGTGAACAAAGATTTCTCACTGCCTGTGTTACACCTTCACAAGAGTTGTTTATACTAAAAATCAAGAGACTTATTATTATCAGTTTTCCAGAATCAATTACAAAAGAGATATTTCTTGTATGTAAACTCATTCAGTCTTGATTATTCTAATTCTCCAGCAAATTCTGATATTCAGAATTCTGCTTTCAGAATTTCTGCCCTCTACCTTCATCTCAAGCCCTTTATTCCATATAGTGGGTGGATGTAGAACACTAAATTGTGAAAATCACTTCTCTGTGTTCATTAAATAGAAGGAAAAATGTTCTCATTCATGAAGATGCAATGGAATTTATAGTTATGAAATAATAGTCTCCTTCTGAATAACTGATAACATGATTCATTAAAGATGTTGCGTACAGACTCATCATTATCACAAAACACTATTTTTTGATTAATTTTTGAAGTTTATATATAAACTTAGAATCAGGTTGGTAAACATTTATAGAGTAAGATTTGGTGCCAGAAACATATCCAAAGGTTTAGGGACTTTTATTTACTTATTAGAATGGACTTTTGTATATTTTCTGTGCTTGTTAGGAAGTTTAGGTTGTAATCAGTATCCAAATTTTCACTGTTTCACTTTCATAGTTTGCATTCATATCTCATTACCCACAATATTCACAAATGTACCATCAGATATTGCTTTTTTTTACCACTTACTAAGATATTTTCAACTTCTCTTCATTATAGGAAGAAACACCGCAAGGGTTTTTTGAAGACCATGGGCTTGGTTAAAGGATTTTCAGTGTACTTACTATTACATGAAGTATCCAGCTTTGAAATACAGTTCCATGGTATGCTTGAGAAGACAACTTGTACTGCTCTTAACTCCCTTCCGTTTTTGTTAGATGGTTGTTGAATGTCTGAAGAGCTGTTGTAAGCATGAAATTGAATACAAATGCTCTTCTGTTTTGTTTACGGGGAATTGTATATTTAACTGTACATGTAATGAAATGCTTCAAAACTGTTTTTATTTTTGGTATGCACGGGAACACTTACCTCTGTACTGTGAAATTTAAATTAGATCCTCTTATCTTCCCTTCGGAAGCAGATATTTAGGTCTTGTACTCATACAACATGCATTTTGACTGCATATTCTACAATATTTGGATGACATAGAAATTTATATTAAATTACTTTTAAAGCAGTGTTGTATATATATATTAAACATTCAGCAGAGAAAAGATTTCCATTGAAAATACCTTGAATATACTTACCTCTCGTTGGCTAGTTGAAGTAGTGAAACCACAGGTATTAATGTCAGTATTTATACTTTTGTGATATTGCAATAGAAAAAATGTGAAAGGACATGATACTACATTTCTGTGATCTCTCTTTTCACATTATAGTTAACTGTAATTTTCTTGTTAGTACTCTAAATGCAGAATTGACCCCCAAAGGAAATAGAGATTAAAGTTTCAACTAGAAATAGAAAAAAATGTTACAAGCCATGTGCTTTCCCAATATTGCATGGCCTGTGTACCATTGGTTTAGCCTGGTTAAAAAAATCAAAAGCTGCATTTATTCATTACACTATTTTTTACTAAAAGGTTTATTGTTACTTCTTATTCTGTTTTTACTCATGCGTTCTTGAAAGACTGTGCAAATTTTGTTTTATGATACATATGTTGGCAATTTGTAGTTAACTAATCATTGTATGAAATTGAAACTGTAATTATCGCAGAAAATAAACAGATTGAAGAAACTAATTTGGTGTCTTGTGACAGAAAATTAATATGAACAAATCGTATAAAAAATTTATTACATCAATTACATTTTATTTCATTCTATAACAATTATGTTCAAATTTTATCTCAAACCCTAACAAACAATGTAGAAAATTGTTATTCTTTTGATGTTTAAAATTCATCTTCATCACTTGATTGCGTGTTGTAACCCATTTGCTCACTCCACCAATCCCGTACCTCCAACAATACATTGGATACTTTGGGCATTGCTGTTTTATTTGCAGTAATGTCCCGCAAGAGTCTGCTTGGTTCAGATCCTTCTGTTACATGTGGGAGGTTGTTCTTGCTGCCACCTGTATTAATAAAAGAGGATTTACATAATTTGAAAGTTAGCAGTTGGAATGTTAGAATAAACCCTTTCAATTCACAAAAATTAATTGAATATAAAACAGTGATCTATGGTATGAAAATGTTTATTTAAAAAAATAACATTTCTTATTATAAATATTATTTAGCCCACTAGATCAACTAATACAAAGTATTATTAACATTTATTAAATTTCTATTAAGTAAGGCATAGAAATTTGGACAAGTAAAATGTATAGAGTGAGTGCTAAATGGTAGTTTATTCAAATACTTATACATTGGTCTTTCTGTGACAATTAATTGGTGTAGGGTTTTACACAATTCTGCTTTGTTGAAACATTATTTTTCAAATTCTTGATCATAATTTCATTTTGAGTTGGTGTGCGTAATGGTAATAATGACTACCTATGCGATGTTAATGTGGCCTACTTACAGGTGAGGGCACCACCTCTCTTTCCAAGCATCAGAGGTGATTTGCCATTGCAGTAGTTTTTCATGAAGGCTTTTACTTTTGTTTTTGGCATTTAATTCATAGCTGCCTGATTTCGCATTGTTACAATAAAAAATAAACCTTTGTTCATGTGCATGCACTTATTGCACTCTGGAAAGAAAATAAATTTCTTGTTTTTTTACTCTATCACAAGTCTTCACCAATTTGGTAAAGCTGACAGAGATACATATGGGTCCCGGAGTGTCTCGCAAATGGAGAATCATTCTGAATATTTTATACAATTACAGTACATATTCAAATGTAATTATGTTAAATTAATACAGTTCAAATAAATTATTTTTATTATTATAAATATAGTGTGTAAAATAATGTATCATACATTTATTACAAAACATGCATGTTCATTTCATGAAATTGGTGATGAAAGTGTATTTTGTGTGGTATCAAATAATGATTTTGGTCGAATAAGATCATTAAATAAAAGAGAACGTCACATGTATTTAACATCTTTAGATTATTTTTGTTGGTTCCATCTTGTACAAATATAATAATTGTAAAACAATTAAAAATTTATTAGGATTCCAAGTGTGTGTTAATGTATTTAGGTAGAAGAGCAGGCCATGTGGCCTGATCCTCACCGTTAATAACTACATTATTATTAAAAGATTATTAATTATATATTTATAAGTATAAAAGATGAAGGTTAGTGAAAAAGGAATAAAATATGGAGAGGTAGATACTTATATTTGTGTTTATGTTCATAATTTGTTATAGTTGAATTGATGAATTGTTTTTGTGAAAGAATTTACATAAGTAAAAATTGTTAGTGATAACATTTCAAGTTCTACACTAAAAGAACGTTAGCACCGTTCTATTACCTAACAAAGACACCTAGTTGAGCTACTAAAAGTATTGCAAGTTAACTATGAATGTATATTAACAAAACCTAGTGGTTTGCAGAAATTAAAATCCTAAACAAAACTACACAAAATGGTTTTCTAAACTAATGTACAGGGGTCAAGAACAAAAAAATATAATATAACTCTAATAATTAAAAAGATTTATCACAAAAATCACGAATACTTCAATAAAATTGTATAGTATATACACTAGGAAAGTTCTTTACATACCAACAATATCAAAAAACTTGCTATTGCGATCAGCAACATGTGAATAGAAAATATTTAATGACGGACGGCCTATTGAAATGAAGCTCGTGTGTCGCGTCACCATGATTGATTAGTAATTCCGGGCGCGTCTATCGCGAAAGACTTGTTCCGTAAATATAGTGAATGTTTTATCTCGGGGATTGGCGGTGATTCTCCGTTGGCTGGCGAGACCTATATGTTTCCATACGGGAATTTTCCCAGCCAGGACAATCTCTAAGCTCCTGACAAATGTAGTGCAGTATATATGTGTGTAAGACTGTACTTACGGGGTAAGGAAGAGAAAGGAAAGATCGCGCACGATCTGTGGCCCGTGACTGCTCCATCATTTGCTTGGTGTTGATCGGAGAAACCACGGAGAGCTATCGATTAGAGCAGCCAGGCCACTAGAATTCTCCACCAAACAGAGCCTGAATTCGCCCTAGCTCTGCAGCTAGTGTTGAAAATACTGCCCCCGTCGGGAGTGGACCACAAAGCCAATGCAGCCACGGTTACATTGGCAAATCGTAACGAACCATAGAGGAACGCCTCCGTGAATAGATTCTCCATTACAAGTACAATATTGCGAATAAATTGGCGGTAGCCCTCTACGCATGGAAATCTGGTCATGCCATTCTATTTGATTACAACCGACTCGCAGCCAGAAAAGACCGCTGGGACCGAGGAGGGTAAAAGAGACTGAAAATTCTCAAACAAGACCAAAACCTCAATGCCGATCGAGGCCTGGAAACGTCAATTTTACCATGATGCCTGCTCGCGACGTGGCGCGGCCTCCGTTGTTCCACGACGTCCGATTACGGACTGAACTCCTGCCTCCACCCGCCCGCTCCCTGATTGGTCGGTACACACTCCACTTTGGCCGATGACCCGGCTGACGGGTGGAGGGGAGCTTAGTACTATATGAACTCGTACGCAGTCGATCTCCGCGCCATCCGTGCGTAGGCGTCTGAAGTCGAAGCACCACTCGCTCTCGCACTGAAAGCACGTTGTGTGGTCGCAGCACGCCCGCTCCCTTCGTGCAAAGATTTCGCCGCGACGCCCCGCTCTCTCGCTGAGCTCTAACTTACAGCGCAGGTGCGTTTGGTCGATTCGCTGGGAGAACTTAGAGCAAAAATTTTCTCCGTGGGTTTTCGTCAGCCACTATCGCCTGTAATGCACGTCTAAGCACCGCAACATTGAGGGCGAATCACGAGCCTCACCGCTCCGGGACGGCGAAAGCAGTCGACTACACCCAAAGCCGCGAAGAAAAGTCTTCACCACTCCACTGAAGGACGACAGCACGGCACCGGCTGACGCCAAGGTAGCATCGCCTATCATGGGAGGTAAGGCCGGCCAGCGGAAACGCGCAGCTGCGGTTTCACATAGGCTTTTCCCTCTTAACTACCAAGCTCATGTATCGTAAATGTAGGTTCCTCTGGCGACCCTACTATTCCCAGCGCCATGGAAACCCCACATGACCAAGACAAAGTACCTCGGACTGAGTCAATTGAAGTAGGCGATCCTGCAAATGCAGGCGACTGCACAGCCGTGTCCGAACAAATTCCGCACGCTCTTACGACAAGTAATTATTTTAAACAAAGACCAATCTAATGCTACCTCCAGTCATCGCAAAAATGCAGTCGATAAAGACGATTTATCTCGCCCAGTAAGTTTTTCAAACGGAAAAGCGTTCAGGAACCGATCCCGGTCGTAACTACAAACAGATTCCAAAGCTTTGTGGCCGAGCAAGAGAAAATCAGCTCTGAGTCAGCCCCCGTCGATCTCGACGAGATCGTTCCATATTCGAAGAGACGACAAAAACCCCTGAACAGACTAGCTCCGACAAACCAAAGCATAACGTCACTGCGCGTATAGCTAATCAAACATGCGCGTTTTTTCTAGACAAAGAACGTGATTAGAAATCTTCAGAGCTTGTCCAGTACTTGAGAGATAAAGTGGAGAAGCCTCTGAGAGATCAAGTCACAAATAAAGAGCTCATCAGAAGGCCTAGCACTGTACCCGACCATCAAAAACTAAAAGTTTCTCAGCGACGCCAAATCCGATGAAGATTCAATTTGCACCTATCACTTCCCTCGCGCCACCGCTTAGCGACATCATCGGCTCGCGATCCGCGGGCTTGACAGAAACGTCAACTGCGACGAAATCAAAGCTGAACTTAGCTTTAAACACATCACAGTTCATCACATGTGAGAACTTAGAAAGAAAATAGTCTCCCAAAACTCTTTGCCCCTCGGTATTTACCTAATCAACGTAAATTATAATGAGATAACAACTCAAAAACATTAAATACCTTCTGCAATGCAGAGTTCACGTAGAGAAACCGCGTGAACGAGAACACGCAAAAAACGGGTGCCAACGACCTGCTCGCTGCCTGGGATGCACCGGTCCGCACCACGCATCAGAGTGCAGAGCCGACAAAGGCTGCTCGGACTATGAACGTCCTAGAACACCGCCAAAAATACTTCAAACATTTAAAGAAGCTAGGAACTTTGGCGACGCAAATGCCGTGCCTTGCAGTGCTCAAATTTTGAACAATACAGAATTTCCGCGGCTAAAAGCCTCTGCTCCCCCTGGCGCTAATTTCCCCTGAAAGATGCAACACACCTTACTTGGCGCGCCAGCGACATCGAAAGAAACCATGCCAGGCGCACTCTCAGAACTCAGCGAACTAATAAATTTAATAAAAGGCGTAAACCTGCAAAAAGTTAAAACGAGTGCAAACCGCTATTACCGTATTAATAGGATCGGGCAACATCCTTAGCGAACTAATCATTATATATACTATATATTACATAAACTACATCGTGGCTTGGAACTCAGGGTGAACTGTGATTTGTGTGTGATCTCAGTGAACTCAGGGTGAACTGTGAACTGTGAGGATTATTCAATAGCCGTTCTTTTGATTCAAGAAACTTTCCTCACGAAAAGTCATTCTTTCACGATTTGCGGCTACCATAAGTACCGCGACGACCGACCACCTGGCCGAGGCGGGACAGCTAACGCACACGCGAATACATACGCCGATTCTGCAAACGATGGAGGCCACCGCAACGGGACCTGTTACGTTCATCTCCGCCTACCGAAGCCCATGCCGACCATTCTAAATAAACGACATTACTGCGCTCGTCTCATTAGGCAAAACCATACTGCTCGCAGGGACGTAAACGCGAAGCGCGTCGAACGGGGCTGCAGGCGTCATCCTCAACCAATTTCTCCTCTCTCAAACTCCCTCAGCGTTCAACCCCCTTCTGACACCACCCGTCTTATAAACGACGCGCCGCTTGACATCCTAGATTTCATAATTGATTCCTCTTCCCACTACCCAACACTTCAAACCCTCGCTCTGAACTGAATTCCGACCATTTCCCCA